TTAAGTTAGAATTTGAATATTTTTCTCAAATATTTCCCACATTGATTTTGTCCTCTCTGATTTTTGCCATTTTTTTTTCAAATTGGAGATTTTGTTTTCACCCAATTTTTTTCTTCAAGTTTTTAAGCTTTCCTCTGTTCTTTGATGGCGGATTTTTCATCTACAGATGAAGTCTTTCTTTTTTGCTTTGAAGAGGCCGGCCGATTTCTTTTTCTTTATTTGTTTTAATAAAACAATTTTCGAAGAAAAAAATAAGAAATTAACAACAGTTAGATAATTGATCATATAATCCAACGGCCACTATAAAACACAGCAGAGCCTGTTGTTAAATGCGCACCGCAGAGCCCCCGGGTCCGTTTAAAAGGTTGCTTTGAAAGTGTTTTGCTTTCAACTGTTTTTTTTTTTTCTTCAAAGTCATTTGAGTGCAAAGAAATAAGGGCACATATGATAATTTCATTGTTTAATAATAACATCAACCAGTAGTGTACCCCTCGTTGTGACGCCTACGCTAGCCTATTAATCATGGATGTGGCAGGAAATTAGCATACCATGGAAAGAGCATGCTTGTTAATTAATTTATCAGTTTTTATTGGGCTTTTTTGTTAGCTATAATTAATTTTGAAAAAGTTAGTATAATTAGTAGTTAGTGAAAATTTAAATTGGTAATAAAATAACTAGTGGTCTCCCGACTGTGCACGAATAATCGAGCCCAATTTAGATTTTATTTTATTTTGCAATTAATAAATATGAGCGCATTATACTTTTTGTTAAAAAATTGGGTAGCGGACTATAAAAAGAATAATGTAATAAAAAAATATTTTGAATCGAGCAAGTTATGAAAGCTTACATCTAAGTGATCCGGATACATAAACAAGAAAGGAAAGAAAGAATAATTTAAAAATAAAAATCGACATCAAACTCACCATGGTATAACATTTCAATTAAGAAGAATTTTACTTCATCAATAGATGACACAATGTAAGCTAAATCTTCTCAGTTTTCATTATCTTAGGACATATAACTTTTCATTATCTCATGAGCAATATGCAATATATGCCAAGAGTTTTCTTAATTCATGTTTTTTTTTTAGATTCTGTTGTGCTTCTTCACAGTCCTCGAAGCATGGACCATCAGATTTCCCATTGTCATACTCCCTCAAGGAATAAAGTTGAGTATGTATAGATATCTCATACGGATATGAGCTTGTCTTGGAAGCTAAAAAGCAGATAAAAAATATGTATAGATATTTCTCATAATGAGAGAGAAACAAATTTAGCCATGATACAAAGAAAAAAAAAATTATCCCAATAATTATAAAGAAAATAAATACCTCAACACACGCGACCACGAATAATATCAATATCACTAAAAATTCATATAAATTAATAGATTATAAAGAAAATACTTATAATATACGTTATTAAAAGATAAAAAATATAATATTGACATAATTAAAAATTAATAATTTTTTAACTTCAAAATAATATATATACATAAGTGTGTGTTATAATATATGATACAAATTTTCAACTTTAGCATTACTTAATCAGAAATCGACATACTATATTGTAATAAAATATGAGTGAGAGAGAGAGAGAGAGGAAAATATTATGTGAGTAACTTTTATTGATCATATTTAAATATGTTAAATTTTTATTATCCATAATTATAAATAGGAACTCTAAATGACAAACTATTTTATAACGAGAGAAATAAATATAAATCATATATTAAATTATTATATATCATAAAATAAAAGAAAAAAATTAATATAAATATCGAAAACTATTTTTATACTAATCAATATTGCATTACTTTAATACAAGCATTTTATAATTATTGCTTCATGCATGGCATGGGCTGCTGGTGATTTTTAAATTAAATACTTTCTTAATCTGTGTGTGAAATGAGAAATGAAACTACAACCTAGAGGAAAAATATATCCCATTGACAAACAGGAAAACGAGCAATCTAACCATTCAAGCACAAAAATGAATGTAAAAACAAGTTGTTTAACAAATGAATCTAATTGCTGATGACGGCATCTTCACGACGTTTGAGGAGCACAAATAGGTCGAGTTTGGACAAGGTTTTACAATATTCCATATTCTGTTCAATCTTGCTTGCAAGAAGAGCAAATAGTTGGTCCAAGATTTCATGCCCAAACTGCTTCTTTAATATCTCTGTCGTTATGGCTCTTATAGTGATGGCTATATATTGAGCCATATGTTCAGCGGCGGGCTCTATTTTATAAGTAGAAACTTTATCGGTCAAGCTCTCCATTTTCTCTATCGTAAAACGCCCATTTTGGTTTATGACTCGTTCCAATTCTTGTGGGGACGCAAAGTTAAGCTGCAAGTTGAACTCGTCCACTTTCTCCTCCTCAATCAGTCCCTTGATCACACACAAATTTGAAAATTAATTTTAATTTTGGAAGAATACTACATGGATTGATTGATTGTTTATGGATTCTACTAGTTTTTATTTAGTTTGTTTTTTTAACTATAGTTAATTTTGAACAAAAATTGTACGGTTAGTTGTTAATTTTGACTATAGTTAATTTTAACTACAGTTAATTTTGAACAAAAATTTTCAACTATAGTTAATTTACTGTAGAAATTATATCCAATTGCCTCATATTTTTCTTTGGGAAAACTACACTTAACCCACCTAACTATAGGGTTTTTTGTACTTTACCCACTCAACTTTTTTTTGTGACACTTTGCCCATATTACATTCTAAAAAATTGTACTTAACCAATTTCCGATCACTGTCTGGCCATTTCTATGAGCAAAGTGTAATTAAAAAAAAAGTTGAGTAGGTGAAGTGCACAAAAACGTTTAAGTGAGTGGGTAAAGTGTAGTTTTTCAAATTACAATTAACTGGATGAATGACTGAAAGTCAATTTTGCCCTCAGAAATTTCCGACAATGACCGAAAAATTGTTTAAGTGTAATTTTTTGCAAAGTTGTATTGGCAAAGCGTCACAAAAAAAGTTGAGTGAGTAAAGTGCAAAAAACCCTATAATTAGGTGAGTTAAGAGTAATTTTTTCTCTTCCTTTAGTACAAAACTAAGATTCTTGTTTTAGTAGTTACACACCACACATACCTTTCTACAAAGGTCCACAAGGCAGTCTCCCAAGAGCATGAATATAAATCCCATAACTGTTTTTGAATGTGGGACCCCATCCGGTCTGGCCGGGTTGACGAGCACCACCAAGCCTCCAGGGACGAGCTCTTGCGCCCGCGCCTCCAGAAAATTCAAAATATCCACAGCGTGCTGCCGCCAATAGGCATCCGCCACCTCATCACCAGCGCCCACGTAGTGTATCCTTCCCTTATTATAAACAGTCGAATCGCGGTCCACAATCTCACTCGGCACCCGAGAAAGCCAATGGAGGGAATATGAACAGTGTGCCACGTGGATCGACCCGTTTGGGAACAAGCGTGCGTAGAAAGAACCGGGCACGCCCGACCCGTAATAGTCCATGTTGGGCGGGAGGGACTTGAAAAGGGTATTGAAGTCATTTTGCGCGTGGTCGTTAAAATAGACTTGGAACTCGGGTACTCTGTTGTCGGTGTTTAGGTACTTGAGTTTAACCGCCGTAATAATGTTTCCGACAGCTGTAAAAGTGTTGGGTCCCGTCGAACACCCCAGGTCGGTAATGCAAAAGGTCTTTAGGTCGGGATAACTTTTGGGTTGGATGTGTTGTGTGATGCACTCTTTGACGAGTGAATTGGCAGCTTCAATAACACATCTCTGTTAAAATATGTGAATATAATATGTTAAAAGACATTGGCAGCTTCAACAATATTTGATAGTTTGTGTTTGTATTGACGTATGCCACGGGCATCCTCATACATTCATTCAGAGCATTTTGTATACAAAAATTTTCACTCAAAAAATTCAATGTTAACTCAATTTCAATATCATCAATATTATCAATATAATTAAATAATATCATCTAATTATTTTTACACATCAAATCTACTTTAATTCACTATTCATTTACTCACATAATTTTAACTAACCATCACTTCATATTATCTCTCTCCTACTTTTACATCAAATCAACTTTAATTATTTTATTTTAAATGTTATTTTAATATAAATCCAAAATATCACTAACAACTAATCACACCATCTTCTTTCACATTAACTCTACTAGTTAATCAAAAAAATCTACTTTAATTGAAAATTTTTGTATACAAACATGTTCTCAGGTTCTTTAACTGTTTAATTCACCAATTTTAGCGTTTTCTAGTTTATAATTTATTTCACTTATTAATATATCTGTTTTAAAAAAAAAAATACAATGAGAAAGTAAAAAAGAGTTGGCTTATAAAGGGTTCACGAATATGATTTTGTGAATGTTTAGGACCTTGGGTACAATTTTTAATGACCTACACAATATTCAGAATTAACTTTAATTTCTTGCATATACTTAAAATTGAAGGCGTGTTCGTAAGATAATAAGTGAATCTATACCTGTAGCGGATTGAAGTTGGGCCACCTTATAATGGTATGCGTGTGTTGTTGAAAATCAAAGCATAAGGTTAAAATTATACAAGTGATTCAATATATATAATTTGGCCAATAGAACATGTTGACATGAGAAT